AGAAGAACGTTTAGTTTCATTGGGATGACGATTGCTAACAAATTTTTGAAAGCATTGAACAATATTTAATGACACCTTTAATTTTAGCAACTTCCATTTCAGGACGGTCGTTAATACTTACATTGCTACTCTAGATGAATCTCTTGACGCTTTACTAGCTCAAGCTAATGAGACAAGAAATGATAATGCACTATATTTTTTAAATCATCGATTTAACCCAACTAAAAGAAACTTTCTTTTTATTGAAAAACGTTGTTAAGTTATAATTTTTGTGCTCAAAGTTAAGTCATTACATTCTATTTTTTAAAAACAATTTTATCTCTAGGTTCTATCAATTACAATATTTGAATACCCGCTCAATGTTTTCTGGAAGATTGACTCGTTGGTCAATGGTCGTATTTCAATTTGATATAACTTTTGTTCCCGTACGTGCTATTAAAGACTAAGTTTTGACATATTTTTTTTTGCAACACACTATTTAACTAATGATGCCTCTTTAAATGATGATTTACTTGACAAATAACTCATGACATTAGAAGATCTAGAGAAGCTCTGTTGGGAATTTTATTTTAACGGTGCTTCGTCAGTCAAGAAATATATTATTACAAAAGTAGTTATTTCTGGAAAAGCAGGGATAAGACTTGTATTCATAACCCCTGAGCGAGGAATGATGAGATTCTCCTACCATTTGTCAGAGTCATGTACCAACAATAAAACGGAGTATGAAACCCTGATTACTGGCCTCCATCTGACCATTTTAATAAACATTCAAAAAGTTAATGTTTTTGGAGATTCATAACTATTAATCAACCAGATTGTTGAAACCTATAAAATCTTCAAACTCTTATTCTATCATTATTATCAGTATATGATGAGCTTACTTGAATATATTTCAAATGTCATTTTGTATCAAATATCCCGTGGTAGTAACATCATTGCGAATGTTTTGAAAAAACTGGCTAAAGTGACAATATGTTGGAAAGAAAAACCAATACTACTTGATGTTCATGGTTGTCGGGTTCTCTCTCCGTTTGATATGAAAGATATTAATAAACCACAGTTGAAGACTTAGTTAATTAGAGACAAACATTTTTAGATTATCCCCGAGAAGGAAAATTACCTTAAGATAAATCAATGACTCATCAGTTAAAATGTAAAGCTTTATATTATACTCTCATCAATCTCACATTATATCAAGGTTTTTCGATCATGTGGTTACATTACTTAGACCAACGTAAGCCCAAAAGATCGTTAAAGAGACACATTCTGACTTATGTGTAGCTCATCAATCTATCTCTAAGATAAATAAAAAAATTAAGAGAATAGGATATTATTTGCCAACCATGATCAACGACTGTATGAAAATTGCAAGACGATGTCACCAGAGTCAAGTGCACGGTGCGGTTTTGTATCAGCCGCCGAACGCATTACACCCTACGATTGTCTGGCGGTCTTTAAATGTTGGGGCAGATACATCATGGGACCTATTGACCCTGCTTCATCAGAATGACATAGGGTTATACCGACGACTGATTATTTCTCTATCTAGTTTAATACTGTCTATCTAATGGCCTCTTTCGATATTTTATTTTATTATTTCTAAATTATTTAATTCTAAATCTTTAAATTCATTTTGAAACTTATCTAAGTCTTCATCAGATAAATCTTCAATAGATTCATTTGTAGAAGATATTTTTTCAAAGTCAGAATTGATCTTTTAATACTAAATTATTTTCTTTTAATTTTGAGATTAGTTCCTCAAAATCTTCATATTTGGTACTAAATCAAATTGAAATTTAAGATGAGGCTATATGGTCAAAAGTCTTTTAATTATGGCAAGAGATTTATTAGAACACATTGGTTCTGTGTTTAGCTTTTTACTTATCTGAGTTAAATGCTCAGATATTATTCGTAGAGTTGTATTTGTGTAATTTAACTGTTGAAGTGTCGTGCTAAATTTTTTAAAAGCATTCACTTTAGTACTTAATTTACTGAATGTAGATATTTCTAAGTTTTCTAGCCTAATATTAATTATAGTCTTAATATTTGGAGAATATATAGATTTGATGATCTCTCCTTTTTCATTTAACCATTTTCTATTGAGTAAAATTCATTTTTTTCGTATATTCTTCAAAAAACCAAAGAACAAAAGAAATAACAGATTTACCCTAATTGTTTCTATTTATTTGGTCATTAAAAAATATTTTGGAAATAATCTTCGTTTCTTCTATCGTGATAATTTTATGGTTGCACTCTCTAAAATTTTTATATTTTTCTTTTCTGAAATCCTTAATTAGGATTTTTCTACTTTTACTTCCTATTTCGTAATAATTTGATAGAAAGTTCGATAGAAAATATGAGTACTGTCCAAATAAACAATAACTAGATATGAATTCCAGTGAGAGAATTATTCTCCCACTCTTGAAATGAATTTTCGTTTCAGATGAATTCACGATTATTTTTTTTTTATCGAAGTTTGCATCTGCAAAAGTCTTTTTATTTCATTATTTTCTTGTTTTCTCTCCATCGAATTCCCACTTTATGCTAGTCTCTTCTAAGCCACCTGTATTCAGTTCTTCTTTTTATAATTTTTTTCTTCAATTAGTATCCTCATTTGCTTGAGGGGCTATAGTATTACGGAATAAATTTGCTATAGCTTCCATTAACAGTTACCCCATGGACAGAGGAATAGAAATTGAACTATATTTCACCCTTAAAGAGCTGTGCCATTTACAATAAACCTTATATCTATTTTAATTTATTTACATTTGTAAAGATGAATACTTGTTGAAACTCATTTTTACATTCTGTTCATTTAGATTTGAGCACATATTTTTCGTAGAACTACTTTAGCTTCTGCTGCACACAAACAATGCTCATGAATTCCAAAGTTTTTAGCGATAACATATTCTGCAGCTCTCCCGCTGCTCTATTACTAGCAATCTATGTTGCACAGATATTTCAAAAACATTGGGTAACTAAATAAACGCATTATTTATAGAATAAATTTAAATGTTGGCTATATGTTTTTGAAATAGCAATGTGAATGAAATTTTTATTTGTGTCTGATATTTTATTTGTTTTGGGTGCACGTCTATTAATGAATTGTTATATTGGTGCTTTCTTTAACCTGCTTTATGAATGTGATTATGTACCCTTGCATACCTGCATTCATTGGTGGCATATAATACAGATATGAAGTGTAATTTTGCTTTAAGTATTTTCCTATGGAACGAATGTCTTTTTGGAAGACCATAGACTGCTTTTTCTCATCTTATAACATTCAAATTGAAAAACAATGGCTTAGGGGTCTATACCATTTTATTTTGAGATGGGTCTCCTCTTATCTAAGGAACATTAAAACATGGAATAACATTTATTTCCTAACTCCTTTTAGCAGGGATAAATTGATATGTTGATGCTTGAAATCCTTTTGTTGGCAACGAATTTTGTCCGTCATCTCCACTTTTGGCATAGAATAGATCTATTTGCACCATAAGTAGAGGTTTGGGACCCCTATGGTTGCTTTTTCTCCTCTATGTCAAGAGCTCCAGTCCTTCAGCTGATGCTGGCTACTAATCTTATCTGCTTCATATTGTTTCTTTTTCTTCTCTAATGTTTCTCTGAGGGATAAGACCAAAAATGAGTCCTTTCACCGCCGCGCTGAACAGTAGGAGCTTAAAGGACATTTGCTCGTTCATTCAATTGTTTATCATTTAGTACATCTATCCTTCCGCTATATCAATCGTCTTTTTTGATGCAATCATCAAAATAAAATAAAAATTGAATATACATAGCATAAGATTCTTATGTATTTGCATATCTCCTGCCTATACTTTCATATTGAAACGCATTGCACTCAATTCCTTAATTCACATAACAAATAGCACTATTACCTTTAAAAATGAAATACACCTTTTCATGCATAGGGTTAAAGCACCAAAGGGCCATATGCATAAATATGATAGTTTAGGCGTGAGATATGTAATTGCATAAGAATTGTGTGCTATGTATGTAAATGCCTGTAAATTTAATTCCACTCCTTGCAAAAGACATCCAATTTGGTTGTCAGAATACATAGCTTGATAGGAGATTTTCCTTGAAGATGATAACTTGGAGGTGAATGCATTCTAAATACTGCTGTCAGCAGCTGCTGTGAATTAAACCTTACATGACTTGTGTTTATTTTTGTCGCTCATTATACTAAGTCTATTGTGTCATCAATTTGATCAATTCTTCAAAATTTTGAGCTGATTGATGGTGTGCAATTGGATTAGAAATTTGCTATGGTCCTTCTATAGATCGAAGCCTACTGTATCCCCATGTTGTTGCATTTATTGTCTTGTTATGAATCATGCCCATGCTTAATGGCTGGAAATTCGTGTTATCTCATCTTGATTTATTTAGCAGAAATATTTGCATGCAAATTGTGCATATGATTTCTATTGCTTGTAAATACTCGGATCATTTTTTGTTGGAGCTTGGTTAGGCAAGCATGCGACATTACAAATTTCTTCATATCTGCACTGCTTGATATTTCTTGTATTGTTTGTGCTTGCTTGGCTATTTCATAAAGTTCTTCACAAATTTGGTGAAGTAAGTGCATGCTTGCTTTGCTTAGACAACTTTATCTGATAATATGTTCATTCAGTGAGTGTAGAAAATCGAAGGTACACCGAATGCGTGTATGGGGGAGCTGTTCATTTTGAATCCTGACATGCAGTTATTCTCATTAATTTCTATACGTCAGAGCGCACCATGAAACCATGAAAGATGAATGGATTGCGTAATACTTAACTAACTTCTCCATGATTTTGAACCAGAAGCCCATTGACTAAATCAAAATATTTGAAATTATGTGAACATAAATTGTGATTTCTGTTTTAAGTGTTCCCACTAAACTTACAATTCTGGACTACTTTTGTTTTGACTCTTTCCTATAATATTCTCTTACATGATTATCAATGATGAATCAATTGAAAACCTTTCATGTTATTTAGAAACGGCGTTAAAGCTTGACAGTCTAGTGGGTGATGTTGAAGATGCAGTTTCTTCTTCCGTCATCGGAAAGTTGAAATCGCCTAGGCGAGCTAATTCAGAGGTGATATTTATTTGCAAAAACTGAAATATATACCTGAGTTTTAATCAATTTCCACTAACCAATTTTTGTTGGCTTCATCGATCTCACAGGAAACTCACCAGAAAGCTATAAACTCTCTGAAACAGATAGAGGACATCTTATCATTCATCACCAAAGCAAGGCCTCGGTGGGCTCGCCTGGTCTCAGCCGTAGATCACCGGATTGACAAAGCTCTGGCCATTCTTCGGCCCCAGGCTATTGCAGACCATCGGTCTCTTCTTTCATCTCTTGGGTGGCCACCACCACTTTCTGGTTCTAGTTTTTCAGGCCAAAGGTCTGGAAAATCACCAGAGTTTTCCAATCCTCTCCTGACAATGGAGGGAGAACTGAAGGGCAAGTATTGTGTAAGTTTCCTTTCTCTCTGTGATTTACAGGAGCTGCAATTTCGTAGAAAGGTTCGTCAACTCGAGGGCTATGATGTAGTGATAGACCTCCACCAACCACTTTGGGTCATAGAGGAACTAGTTAATCCAATCTCACTGGCATCTCAGGCTCATTTTTCCAAGTGGGTAGAAAAGCCTGAGTTTATTTTTGCTCTCGTTTTCAAGATCACGAGGGATTTCGTCGATTCCATGGATGATATATTGCAACCTTGGGTGGACAAAGCGAGGCTTGTCGGGTACAGCTGCCGGGAAGAGTGGATTTCTGCAATGGTAACCGCCCTTTCCACTTACTTGGCTAAAGAAATCTTTCCCAAATATACTGAGAACATAGAGTCTGAAAGCTTGAGATCTTCATGGCTTCAACTGATAGATCTGATGATATCTTTTGATAAGAGAATGCAGTCTCTACTAGCAAACTCAGGCTTACCGATCTCCCTATTGGAAGGCGAGAACCAGCGGAGCACCTCAGCTCTATCCGTATTCTGCGACCGCCCCGATTGGCTCGACATATGGGTGGAAATAGAACTGTTCGAGATGTTAGAGCGGCTCAAATCAGCACTGCAAAGTGAGAAGAACTGGAAAACGAAGCTTCAGGGCATGGTTTCGATCTCAGGCACTCAGGATTATAAGTCTCCCGTAGTCTCCAGTATTTTTCTCCAATGTCTCTCGCTTCTTATTGATCGAGCGAAGTCTCTCCCAACCATTTCGCTGAGATCGAAGTTCATAAAATTAACTGGATCACCCATTATCCAAGAATTTATAGATTGCTTACTAAGAAGGTGCCAGGAATCAGAGGGTCTCACCGCTTTGGCTGATGACGATGCGATGATAAATGTTTCGTACTCCATCAATGCAGCCCGGTATTGTGAATCAACATTAACGGAATGGTGCGAGGATTTATTTTTTCTCGAGATTGAAACTGCTGAAGGTGGCGGCATTTTTGAGGAGGTCAAAGCGATGAAAGATTTCCAAGATGAATGGTCCGAGAAGATCTCCACGGTCCTATTAAGAGGATTCGACGCGCGGTGTAGAGACTACTTAAAGAATAAGAAGCAGTGGCAAGAGAAGAGCGACGAAAGTCGAGTCGGCCTCAAGGCCCTTATTACGGCTCTAGACTATCTTCAGGATAAAATTTCGAAGCTTGAAGGAGCATTGAATGTTGTCGACTTCACCGAGACTTGGCGTAGAGTGGCCTCCGGCGTAGATCAGATACTCTTCAATGGAGTTATTGCAGGCAATACGAAGTTTTCCGAAGCCGGTGTTCGAAAGTTTGAAGGTGATATAGATGTATTGTTTGGTGTTTTCTCAGCTTGGTGTTTGAGACCTGGGGGCTTTTTCCCTAGGCTGAGTGAGGGTCTGAGGCTTTTGAAAATGGAGGAGAAGGAACTCGGGCATGAATTGGTGAAGGGGAAGGAGAAGTGGTTAAAAGAGAAGAGTATAAGAAATCTAACTTTATTAGAGGTAGAGAAGCTTGGGAAGAATAGAATTTTTTGAGGCATGTCATTTATTTCTATTTTTTGGGCCATTTACATCCATAGCATATCTACATATCTCACAGCTAAACTTTCACAATTACAAATATCACTCGAATCGTTAGTATCACATTAAAAATAGCAACTTTTTTAAAAATAAAACACACATTTTAATACCTCAAGTTTAAAGCACCAAATTGCTATGTAAACACGAAAGTTTAGCTGTGAGATGTAAAAATATAAAAATTGTATATGAAGTTTGTGCTCCGCAATGGTTGCTCGCTCCTCATCTTCTCTCACCAAATCTAATGTCTTACTTTCTTAATTCTTTAACAGAAAATAAAGAATAACAATAATTTATCTTGATTTTTTCTTAATGATGTTTTATATGCCCAGTTGCTGTTTGGGCTAACATGTAATTGATATTTGCTCTTTGGTTCTTGCTGCTTTTGGGCCTGTTTCCGAGTCAGGAGGAAGTCTGACAAGGAAGAAATGGCAGAGAAATTTTCTTCTGAAGAGGAATTTTCCTCTTTACGAGGGTTGAAATTGTAATATTTATGTGAAAAATGTTTAGATTCAGTCAAGATTTTTGCAATTATGATGATTTTGATTGTGTTGCTAATTATGATTCTGTGTATATTTATGCTGTATCAACTTCTCATTCAGTCTAATTCTTATGCATTTACATATCTGCATCTAAACGCTCTTATGTCCTGCCGAATTGGTCAATAGGCCTGTTGGGCTTGGGAAACCCAAAATTTTCAGGACATGTCTTTCAATTGTGATGTGCTAGTTGCTAAGGTCATTGATGAAATCGGTCTTTCAGGGTGATTCAACAACCTCACATGTTGATGTGCAAACTGTCATGTATCTCGATCATCATTTAGTAAGGAACATTTCTACGTCTATTTATCAATTTTCCAACATTCGTAACATCATCATCCTTCAGCAACGTTTCGTGAATAGATATCGTATGTTACTAAAATTATCTATTTGCAATTGGAAATAGGAGAAAGAATCCATCTGAAATCATTATAAATAGATTCTCCCATCATCTAAAGGGATTTATCGCCGCCTCGTATCTACTCGCGGATAGTGAGAGAGAACTCCCGAAGCATATATCCATTCTCTTCCACCACATCCATTATTAATAGGTCTTCTTTGAGTTGTCTGACCTCACGAATAATATGAGATTCAACGTCCTAAAAAGATTCAACAATATATAATACATTAAAATTATGATGTGTATATGTAAATGCCCCAAATATAAAAGCAAAGCTTAAGCTTATGTGTTAGATATGTAAATACATAGAAATTAGGGGCCCATATATTTAGTCATTCCACAACCAAAGAGAAATGATAAATAGACATGGGCCAAGTGACTTTTTAAATAAATGGGCTTTTATGTAAAAACCACCCAATGCACATTTATTTAAATATTTAACACTCAAACTTTAATATTTACATTTATACCACTCAATTCTTTCATATCACATCAAAAACATAGCCATTTTAATGCTTAAAAAGTGAAATAAACGTAAGATGAAATGCATTTAAAAAGTAAAGTTTAGGTGTTAGATATGTAAATAAACGTAAGTAAGATGAAATGCATTTAGAAAGTAAAGTTTAGGTGTTAGATATGTAAATACATAGAAATTGAATGGTATAAATATGTAAAACTTCAAAAAAACAGTACTCAAATGTAAAATATTTTAATACCCACATCAATCATGTTGACTTTTGCTAGAATTGACTTTATTTGCCGGATCTATTAAATTAAACATAAATTTAAATATTTAAAAAAATATATAATTCAAATTCCGACTAAATTAATCTCCCAACCAATCAATCCCTTATATTTTTTACTTTTAATTTTCACTTTATTTTTAATTAATATGCAATTTTATAAAAATAAAATTATAATTTCAGAAATTAAGACTTCACATCAAATGCCGTGCAAGATACCAAACCATTTGAGACATGTCGTGCTAAAGTCAATACAAGAACATAGCTGTTATCAATTAATTGTGATTGTGCAATTACGGCAGATATTTTAATTTGATCATAAAAAATTCATTTGATGGTCCAATCAATTTTTAATTTAGATAGGATTAACTTAATTCGAGTTAAATGAGTTTAGTTATTAATTAGATTTTTAATTATATGATCTTAATGATGATTTATAGCCATAATTGGAACAATTAAGATGGAGATAAATTAGAATTACATATAATTTGTATTAATAATACACACACACGCTCTCTCTCTCTCTCATACACAAGAATATTATAAATATAAGCATATGTAAATCAAATATTTTTTTAGGCAGTAGAAAAATAGAAAAAAAATAATATTTTTGGTCGGCACAATTCAAATATATTTGAGCTAGAGGTATCAAATCAAGCTCATAGGTGGGGTTCAACTCTAGCTCAAAATTGACTTGATTTGAATTTGCTTTGACGCGAACCTAACCTGCATATCAAGAGTCTGTTTGTGGTAGTTGTAGCTTATTAAAAAATGAATATGAAGCTGTTGAAAAATAATCAGTTGTTTAAAAAGCTACGGTAGCTATTATCAATATATATATTTTTTTGAAAAAACCAGACCGCATCTAGAAAGCTGTCACCACATCTAGCTAGGCCCGGTGTGAAAATGTTGATTTTAGCGATCGGAAAACACAGTTTTTTTAAAAAGCTGTCAAACCGCAGTTTACCCAAACATGCAATAAATGGGGTTTGATAATCTAACTAGAACTTGACCTACCTTTAACCAGACTAACCCAAGCCCTACTGGCGTAACCAGTTTATAATATGCGTAAAAATTAATTAGGTCAAATTCAGGTTAATTTTGAGTCAAATTTAGATTGGTGGGGCAGTTTTGTGTTGACAAGTCAACTAGAACAAAAGCAAAAAAAAAAGTATTTAGACTCTACACTTGACCTCGACCCAAAATTAATCGGGTTAACCCGAACAAAAAATGTTCAAGTAAAGTTGAAGTACAAGGTCAATTTTTAACACCTCTAATTTGAAAAAAAAAAAAATATTACATCACGAGTCTTGACGCAAAAACTGTATTAGAACTCTCATCACAATGCACCACGTGTACGGTCCGACCTCACTGAATACAAAAAACTAAATAGACTAATACATATGGTTGGATGACAAAATTGAGCCATGAGCCAATTTTGAGCCAAAATTGAATTAGCTCGACACACACCCAATTCAGGCCCACAAGGAGACAACTTTTGATGATATAAGGAGAAAGAAATGGCTTTAAGGACTGATATCTCATGTGCCAATGCATGTACGAGGGGCGGCAAAGCCAAACATGAGAATTAATATAGAACTATAAATATTGTTTCCTTTCGCTCTAAATATACATGCAAAAAAAACTGGCTAATTAATCCATTCCAAGAATGGAAAATTAATCTAATTGGCTTTTGTTTGTTTGTCTCCGCCAGATTTTGATTTTATGTAGATTTTGTTTGTAGAAAATGATACGATGATATATGAACAGTCTACTTTGATGGGTTGGAAGAAAAACGAAGAACCTCAAGATGCTAAGGTTTAAAAGTCAAAGTCTCTCACTTTTATCTCGAAAGCTTGCTATAATAAGCACATGAGAGTTGAAGGATCTCACTTCATCTCGTGTTTAACTGGAACAGTGAGGATGTGTGGACTCCATATACAACAATATTGTACACTGTTATATATATGTTGTACGATAATACTGTACAACAATAACATACACTTTATATCTCCACACAAACTCTTGCCCCACCCTATGTTATTTATTTATTTTGCCTTAGCAATGAATAATAAATTAAATGAATGAATGTTATTGCTTGCTTGAAAATTTAGGGTGGATTTTACTTCTAGTTTGCATGACTATCTTAGTACATATAGATAAACAAGAACATTAGCTACACCAAGATTTATATGTAAGAAAGTTAAACTTTGAATTCTTTCTCTCATTTTAACAATAGGATTAGAAGGTAATGTATTCAAATTTTGTTCGAGTAATAGTGGTAGAGCTAAAAGTGGTAAATGGATGATGATAGTAGCCAAATAATAATGGTTGAGCAATATTTGTTGAATGATAAAAGTCGGATGATAGTAGTTAGATGATAATAATCAAGTAATAACAGCCAATGATGGAAATCATATGATAGTGAATGAACCATGACAACTAGTTGATAGTGGTCAAACATGGACTACAGTTGGGCAACAATGATGATTAGCGTGATCAATAATATCAAATTTTAAGTTAGACTCTAGAGTTTTTTTTTATATCTAAACTATTTTCAAACTCAAATTTTTATCTCCTTAATGTGGAGAATATTCTATATTTACAGTTTTTTAGAATGACATTTTAATTAATATAGTCGAAAGTAGAAAAACTAACTGTTGGTGTTGATTCTGTTTTGATAAATTTGTTTTTCTTACAACTTAAGGTTTTTTAACAGTCACAAAAATGGAGCTATTATGAGCATTTTAGATTTCTCTCTTTGAGATACTCAATTTAACTATAAGTATATAACGTGTGGAGATTGATTGATCCTTTAATTAATATTTAAAAGTTTTTAATTATATTTAGGTGCTTAGTTTAGGCTTATTTAGACTTGGATGAGATACCTTTTAATGCATGGCATTGGCTTCGTCTATCACAACATTTGGTTTGATTATAAGTCTGCTGAAATAAAAGATTGGATGGTTCATAATTAATTTTTTTAATTTTTAACTAAAAAAATTGCATCAAGATTTATGCTTGATTAGATAAACCTTCAATGATATTGTTGGATCCCATATTATCTTTTGTGAACACACATCGAGAGTTAGAGTCGAGTGAATGAGAGAATAAAGTAAACAAAGAGTTACCATGGAGAGAACCACGGGAGTCCAAATGGCCTACCTCCCTTTGGTCGTCATTTTGTCTCTTATTTATAAGAGCGTATTTTGTACAATTACAGAAATGAGGGAACAGTTGTGGAAACTGTTCTTAGTATGATTGATGTTCTGATTAATTATATGGATTGATTATATGTATTACAATTTGAATTTTGATATGACATTAATTGGTTGATTGATTAACTAGAATGCGACCGACTAAGGTGATCGACTAGGTGGTGACCGAGACGTTCTGTCGAATGACGATCTTGTCCGCCACGGTAAAAGCGGGTCAGTTGTCTAATCGTGATTAAGGGGTTTCTTCCTACGCTTCAGTCGGTTGGTTGGTCAATGAATGAGTTGATTTGTTTTTGTAGGCGAACTGTGGCTTACTTGTTGCTTTGACTCAAGTCTTATAGGGCGAACGTCTCATTTACATGATCGATTACTCGCCTCAGCTGGATACCCCTATTTGCAAGGTCTTAGACAGTTTTTGTCACTATCTATGTGAGGAATCTGATGAGACTTGCTGCTATAATGAGTTGTACCTTACCCTTGGCGGATCTTGTCGCTGTCGGGCGAGGGGTCATCTTTAGAGCTTTAACCTATCCCGACCTTAGAGACACGGCTTCATCTGTTTGGCGATGACTTGTCGGTCGCATTCATCAGCTTA